GGGTGCCGCCGCCGCCAGCAGCGCCGCGGCCCGGCCGAGACGGCAGCGGCGGACAGTGAGGCGGACACGGACCCCGAGGAGGAACGTATCGAGGCGGGGCCGGCGCGCTGCTCCCTGCTGGAGCTCCCGCCTGAGCTGTTGGTGGAGATCTTCGCCTCGCTGCCCGGCACCGACCTGCCCAGCCTGGCGCAGGTCTGCAGCAGGTTCCGCCGCATCCTGCACACCGACACTATCTGGAGACGGCGCTGCCGCGAGGGTGAGCGAAGACATCCCATATCCCGGGCATTCGGCCGAGATAGGAGATGGTGCAGAGTGCTAAACTAGGCCTGGCCGCAGAGTGAGACTCTTAGAAAACTAGTCAATTAACAGGCCTGGGCTGCAGAGTGAGACCCCGTCTTTAAAAATCCCACCCCAACAAACAAACAAACAATAAAAGAAACCCAAGCCTAACCAGCCTATCAGTCAGCCCACCCATCCAGTGCATTACCGCAAGAATGAGGACGCAAAAGCTGTCAGAGTCTCATTTGGAAGGCCTTTCTTCCATATGCGTACAGCTGCTCGGTACGCGCTCAGCCTGAGTGGTTTGTTGCTGGGTGTCCTAGAGCCTTCCTGAAGAGAGCTTCAGGGATTCTGCTGCTTGCATGCTACATGGGCTAGTCCCCTGACCGTGGGCTTCAGCGTTTCTTGTCTTCTGGCCACAGCACTCTGAAGACTGCTTTGTGCATTTTGTAGACATTCAGAGGATTTGCATTTATTTTCGGGAACCCCTGAGGTGATCTTCGTGGGCTTGCACCTCACCTCTCATAGTGGGATTGTGGGATGGCAGGCTGGGTGAGAAAAGCAGTTTCCCTAGGTCCTCCCCAGCGGCAGGGTTCTTTTTACCTTTGCTGTGTAATTTCGTGATTGACACCAGAGTTCTGGCCTTGGCTCCACTTATCCACTGTGAGGTGTTGGGCAGATTACCCCAAGTTTGAGTGAGAACATTTGGTGGCAGGTGCCTCTCCTGAGGGGTAAAAGAAGCATGCCCAAGCCCACAGTCCTGAGCGTGGCTGTTTGGCATGTCTGTTGGCCTATGTGTAATGCCCTGCTTATCTTTTGTCTTATTTTCTCTTTGGAGGCCTGATTTTGCTTAGAAAGTTAGTGAGACTCCTCAGTAACCTTTAGTCACATAGGAACAAGTGAAGTTTGTTTTCACTTTCTCTCTGAGCACTGTCTTTCCTTTTTACACATAGCATCTTTGGTTTAGTATTGTTATTGTGTGTGCGGCAGGTTTGTGAGTGGAGCATGCATGTTTGTGGAGATTGGAGGGCAGCTCCTTTCTCTACGGCGGTGGTTCTCCACCTTCCTAACGCTGTGACCCTTTAATACAGTTTCTCCTGTTGTGGTGACCCCCAGGGATACAATTATTTTCGTTGCTACTTCATAACTGTAATTTTGCTACGGTTATGAATCGTGATGTAAATATCTGTGTTTTCCGATGGTTTTGGATGAGCCCCGCACTAGGGTTATTTGACCCCTAGGTTGAGAATCTCTGCTTTGTGGGCTCAGGGGATGTGCAGCAGGTGCTTTTGCCCTCTGAGTTGACCGCTCTTTCATCCGATGTTTAGTGTGTACACCTGTGACACTCAGCTCCCTCCAGAGTGCTCCCTGTCCGCCTGCTGAGCCTGTGCTGGTCTTTGGGGAAACTGTAGATGTGGGTAGGTCATTGCTAAGACCAGAATCACAGACTTGGTTAAACTAGACGTTTCAAAGGGATGTGCCAGTCGTGCTAACTGAACCGGAGCTTGGGACACGCTCTGCGAGCTGTGAATAAATATGTGTCATGTCCCATCGCCAGTATGGAAAGCAGTGGCAGTTGGGGAGGGTCTCTTCAGTGCCCCCCGCCCCGCCCCCACTGCTACAGCTCTTTGGGACTCGAGAGCCGTGACCAGAGAATAAATCATCTCACTACACTCAAATTCCAATATTGAGAAATTAAAGGCCCGAGAACTGAAAGTCTCCGGAGTGTTGGTGTTACAGGTGTGAGCTACCACATCTAGCACTAACATTTTTAATTTTTTTTTTTTTACTATTTTTATTTGTGTATATGTGTGTGTTTGTGTATGGGGTACGTGCATGTGGCTGCAGGTACCTTCTGGTTCCAGAAGAGGATATAAGATCCCCTGAGGCTGGAGTTACAAATGGTTAGGAACCTCTCCATGTGGATGCTAGGAGCTAAACTCAGGCACCCTGTGAGACCAGTATGTGCTCCTAACCGCCAGACAGTCTCTCCAGCCCTGCACACAATATTTTTTTTTCCTTTTATTTGTGAGTTTTAATCAGCTTATCAGGAAGGGTTTCAGGTGGTCTCTGACACTCTAAGGTGCTGAGCTTGGCCTGTGACTGTGCTGTCTGGGTTCCTGGCAGCCTTTTATGGGATGAGGTCTCCCAGTGCAGATCAGGCTGGTTTTGAACTCTCCATTCCCCTGCTTCATCCACGCACACACTGGGTACAGGCGCTGGGTGCTGTGTGGGCTCGGTGCACCTGGTGCACAGCAGGTGAACGCTAATCCGTGCAGGTGAGGGATGGGTTGGCTGGCAGGCCTGGATTTGTGGCTCTCCGAGGCAGTCTGTGTGTTGTAACTTCCTGGAGAACTGCTGTGTGTGAGACAGTCCTGCCCTTACCTCTTTGAGCCCCTGAGCATCTTCTTTCCTGGATTCCAAAATTAAGTTGATTTTGGTGAAGAGCAGCACCTGTCCCCGCCTCTCGAGCAGGCCTGGGTCCTCCCAGCCCCTGCAGTTTCCTGGCAGGGCTGAGATGTTGGCCCAGGAGAGTGGGTGAGGCTGGTTGGAGTGGGATTTTCTGAGACTTGGGCCATGACCGATAGTCAAGGCATGGGCCGAACATGGTGCTTTAATATGTTTATCAGTGGGGCTTGGTGGCCTGGCTTGCAATCCCAGCCCTCAAGAAGCTGCGGTAGATGGATCAAAAACTCAAGGCCTGCTTGGGCTATAGACTGAGTTCCAGGCTAGCTCCTGTTTCAGAATAAAAGGTAGAGAGAGCCTGGGGTGAAGCTCAGGGGATGAACACTGGCCTAGCATGTATGAGTCGCTGGGTTTCATTCTGTAACTGTTAGAAATTAACAAAGACAACAAAAAAGCCAAACTCTTTCTTTCTACAAGGGTAGGGTGGTCTGGGCCTGGGATGACGCCCTCCATGTTTAGACTGTTGCTAACACGGTGAGCACCTCAGAATCTTCTGTCCCCCGCTAGTGACATATGCAGGTGCTGCCTTTGCCCTCTGCTGCCGCGGCACACACGTCAGGTTGTCAGGCTGAAGACTGACTTGGGGCAGCTGAGCGCCATTGCAATCGTTCCCGGAGGTCTTTCTCTGGGCAGGTCAAAGTGCGCCTCCCATTAGCCAGCTCTGTCCTGCCTCAAGGGCTTGTGCCGAGGGTGGCGAGAACTGAGTACTCAGCCACCTGGGCATAAACATTTTTTTTGATGCGTCACCCCCTTGGCCACGGGCCACTTGTAGTTACGTCATGTGGGAAGAGCTGTCATGAGTCCTGGTCTCCAGAGCACCGAGGGCGGGAGCCTCAGTGCCCGTCCTTGCCTGGCAGGCCTCTGTGGTTAATGCTTCCTCCAAACCTGCTGCTGGCCAGTTTCCTACCTTGTGACTGGATGTGCCTCCCGAAGCCAGCCCAGGGCTACTGAGTTTCGACATTTCAGGCCCTGGTTCCAGATCAAACCATTCATGCAGGGGCTGGCAAGATGGCTTTGTCAGTAAAACCATCAGCTGCCAAGCCTGATGCCCTTAGTTCGGTCTCTGATCCCACCTGGTGGAAGGAGCAAACGGGCTCCACAGAGGCTCCTGCATGTATACGAATATGAGAAAATGTGACAATTTAAAAGATGGAATGCAAAACAAGGAAACAGTCAAAATTCGCTTTCCCCCTCGGCACCTTACTAGGACTGTAGGGCAGGCACCTTAGGTTCCCACTGTGATGCCGCCTGTGGTCCTGTGCAGTGTTGTGATTGGAGTCTGCCATGGGCGCTCATCCTGCCCCTTACTCTCTGACGCGATGGTGGCGGAGAGGAGAAGCCAGCGCCCCTTCTCTCCCAGTTTGACTCAGTCTCAGTCTGAGTGCTGTGTGTTAAGTCGCTGAGCTTAGAGGTGCTGTCTTAGGAGGACGTCTGGAATTGGTTTAGGAATTTTTTTTTTCTGATTTTTGGAGACAGGGTTTCTCTGTGTAGCAACCTTGACTGTAGTAGAAACTCACTCTGTACACCAGGCTGGCCTCGAACTCACAGAGATCCACCTGCCTCTGCCTACTGAGTGCTGGATTAAAGGCGTGTGCCACCACCGCCTGGCTGTTTTAGGAATATTTAGTGTCTAGGGGACAGTTGAGCTCACCTGCTCTGTGGAGGGAACCCATCGGAGAAACAGACTGTCCAGGCAACAGGGCAGAAGGCCCAGAGTTGAGAGTCACCTCCCCGCAATCCCACAGCTCCCTGCTTGAGGAAGCGGTTACATTCTTGTTTTAGGCTGGCTGGCTTGTTCCTTGTGAGGCAAGGCTGTGTGCTCTCTAGCCCAGGCTGTCCTCATATTGGACAAATCCTTCTGTTTCAGCCTCCTGAGTGCTCAGGTGACAAATGTGAGCCACCATGCCTGGGGAGGGGTGCGGGGTGAGGCACAAACACGGGCCTTGATCTGGCAGGTGAGCTTTCTACCTCTGTCATTGGACTTGACTGTGGACTCGGGCTCTGTGTGTCTGTTTTTTTTTTTTTTTTTTTTTTTTTGAGGCTGGTTCTTGGTTTGTGGCCCTTGTTGGCCTCATCTTCCGCAGTGCTGGGGTTATGGGAGTCTACCACACCAGGTTTAAACCTGTTTTACTTTTTGCTGGGCGGTGGTGACACACATCTTTAATCCCAACACCCAAGAGGCAGAGGCAGGAGGATCTCTGTGAGTTTGAGGCCAGCCTGGTCTACAGAGCGAGTTCCAGGAGAGCCTCTACACAGAGAAACCCTGTCTCGAAAAGCCAAATAAATAATAAATAAATAAAAACAAAACCCTGTTTTACTTTTGTGAGATTAGATCTCACTTGGTAGTCTAGGCTGACTTTGAACTGTCCCTCCTGCCTCAGCCTTCGGACCTGGGATGACGGGGATGTACCATCACAGTCCGGTTCTAAGGTGTTCAGAAGTTGACTTCCGTGTACAACCTGTGTGATCTTTCTCTTGGAGGCAGGTGCAGGAGAAACGTGCTTAGGAGGT